TTAAACAGGAACATAGAGAAGCAGGGCATTTGAAAGAGTCACAGAAACTGGAAAAGGACATAAAAATGAAAAACTCTAGGTAAATAGGCATGGAGGAATCATTTGCTTGTGGAAATTTGGGCAGGAAGCTCGTGACCTGCGAAGGCTGCTGGCTGAGTGTGTTGTAGAGGCAGCGGAACAGAACCACTCTGTGAGGGAACGAAGCACTCCGGCGCGAAAACTCCAAAAGAGCAGGGCCTGTCATTTCCGGTCCCTCAAATCACCTGCTGTAGAATCTGACCCTCCCCAAACATCTCCCCTGAGGGGTCGTTTTATACATGGGACCCATGCGAGCACTGTGTGCTCTGAGCTCTGGAACAGCAAGGTGTCGTGTGGTCCGCACATACCAGGACCGCTATGGTCTTGCTACTCAGCAGGTGCCGCGGCGCCAACTAGCGAGCCCACCTTGATCTGCCCAAGGCCGATGGTGACAGGAGCAGCGGGGGTGGGACCCTTCATGACTGACGGGGCAGGAGATGACGTCCAGCAGGAACCTGGCTGACCAAGAGGGAATACTGAGTCAGTCACAGCTCTGCTCGGTCCCAGAGGACATGGGTGGACATGGGCTGGGAGACATGATGTGGGTGGGACTGGTGGGTGACACGTCCTTTTTGGGCTGGTTTGGAGAGCAGGAAAGGGAGGCTAGGGTCTGAGGCCCTGGACATTTCCCCAAGTGTCCTGGCCTCTGAGCAGATTGGGCTAGGGCGGAGGGTGGAGGGTACCTCTCCAACACACACACACACACACACACACACACAGGGGCAGCCCTTGGAGTGCAAAGAAGGAAATGCTGAGGGCAGGGCATCCCAAGGAGACAGGAGTCTAGGACCCCAGGAAGAGCAGAAGTGCAGCCCCCACCAAAGCAAGAGGGCCTGAGAGTCTTACCCAAGAGCCGGAGCCCCAGGGCTACGTGCATGCAGCACCCCAGGAAGGCCAGCAGCACGGCACAGGTGGGCTCATGGAAGGTGTAGGAGACCAGGAGGGACTTGATGGCCGTGTGCCCCAGAGTCACTATCCGGGAGGTGCCCAGGAAGAAATGGACGAAGTGCCCCATGAAGGCGGAGTAGAGGCCGTACTGTTGGGGAGAGAGACTGATGAGCACCCAGGGCACAGGGGGCACACCCACGGCATCCCTGCTGTAGATGTCTGGGCACAGGGATTTGTGTGCCCATTGTGTACGCTGGGCACACCAGTGCACACAGGGAGGGTAAACGCTCACCCTCTATCACCCACGGGTGTGACCTGCAGTGACCAGGAGACCTCTTTTCTCCCCACACTCCACTGGGGCCTCGGGTGGTACCTGCGGGTGCACAAAGGCCTGGGTGCTTCCGTGTGAGTGTGTGAGTCTGAGGAAGCGTTCTTAAGGCTACGGAGAGTCATCCCGCTGGCCCCATCACACAATCCACAGCTAGCTCATTCTCCGTGTTTGACAATTGGGACAAGAGAAGTTACAGTGGCCTGTGTCTACCCAAAGGCAGTCACATGCTCTAGACTGTAAACCAAGGCTTCTTGGGCCCCATGGGCCTGGATGCCAGCGTGCCTCGTTTGTCTGGAGTGGACACTGCATTTCTACTCTGCTTCTGGG